ATAATAGGGAGTAATAATTAAGAAGTGGATAGCTCAGTCGATTATATTGAGTATTTGTTAGTATTTGGAAACATGAATTTGGGTTGAGTGCTACATTTAGAGGTTATAACGCTAGAGGCTAGATCATGCACAAATTTCAGTGAAGACTTATTCCACATTTAAAAAATGGCATGGTGTCAAAAGAAAAAAAAAATCATAACCTATTGAAAAACTCTACAACTCTATAATTACGAGAATTGCTATAATTTATTAACATACATTATATTTCCAAAATCTAGCCATATTTTGTTGGCTTCATTTTATATCCATTGTATTTAATTTCTAAAATTGCGTTTTAATTGATTTAAGCTATACTCTTCTTCATTTTTCTTTTTCTTTTTGATATGATGTAGGAAGGTTTATTTTCTTAAATTTGGTATTATTGCAGACAACGAAATTTCTCAAACATTGAAAAGTAAGTAAACTTCGAAATAGTTACTTACTATTTTTCTCTTTTGTTGGAAATGTGACTTCCACTCCACTGATCTAAAGCAAATACACCAAATATAATTTCTTTTAGTCTACATCATTATGCTTTCTAAGGATACAAAAAAAAACAAGAAAAAACAAAGGATAATATAACATTGCAACTTTTCCACTTATAAATGGTCAAGAGATAAGCTTTGACCTAACACGTATAGTTTAAGTAATCATAAAATCAATCTAGAACGTATAGTATATTAATCAATGACCTAACCATGTAGTTTAAGTAATCATAAAAACAATTTAGAACGGTTAAAAACAAAATCAAACAAAACAATAAAACTAGAGCTATGAACTTTATCATCTACTCCTTCCGTTTCAAAATATAAATTGTTTTGGATTCAAAATATAAATTGTTTTGATAATTTTAGATATTTTTTTAATTTTATTGACTATTGTGTGACCAATAGTATTTTGCAGTCGTTTTTTTCATTGGTTAAATTATTTTTATTATATATATATATAAAATAATACTTCTTAAAAAAAAAATTAGTTTCCTAATATTTACAATTTTAGCCAAAACAACTTACGTTTGGAAACGGAGAGATTATCGAACAATTACCAAATACATCAACTTTGTAATCTTCTTATATGTATCTCTCATCCTTTTTATTATTGTTATCTTTTCCGTTTGTACACTTTTGCTTTTTCCTGAAAGCAAGTCTCACAAAGTTTCGATACATTTTCATATTCTGGAAATGAGAAAAGTATGTATGAACCAAATTATTTTATTAGTCAAAAATTGCAAAACACGCATCAAAAAGCTTTGTTTGGTGCATGACCCACCAACCAAAATAATATATAAAACTCAAATTGCCTGATTTATCTCGTGGGCATCTTTTATCTTGTAAAATGAGTTTGAGTTTTAAAATAAAACAATAATAGTAATTACGTTTTGGTAAGTCAAATCACAAATGTAAGCAATGTTAATGTATAATCATGTCAAAAAATTAGGTATTAGGTATATGATATCGCATCCAATACCAAAAAGGCCTATGATGTTTATGTTTAAAGT